GAAGGCCTCTCCTGCATTCCATCTTCAGTCCGGCATCCGAAGTTTGTGTCATAGTGCTGGACAGCAACGCCAACCGCCCTTGCCAATCATTCCCCAAACAATGACCCACGGCCGCCAAATGTCCTTTTTGGTGATTACCCCGGACTATGCACCTCTTCAAAGGTTGATGAGCATTCTCGAACACCAGTTCCATAAAGTGACGTACATGCCCGAAGGCAGGAATTGTGTGGTTGTTCAACTCGATTAACCTGTGCAGGTTCGGCTTGTCCAAGCTGGGGCGACCTTTACCCACTCCTTGGCAATAATTTGCGCAAAACTTGTCTGCCTCAGTCACATACTTCTCAGCCCTTTCCAGCAAGTCTGCATGGTATTGAGCTCCATTATCACTTGTCACATACAAATAATCTGAGACACCATCCGCCTCTTCCGATGGCCACCAGTACGTCAACGCAATCAATTCCTGCAATTGCGTCAATAGATCCAACACAACAGTGGTTTCTTCACTCTGGATCCCCGGGAACAGTTGGTAGAAAACCGGAACGCACACGAGAAGGGCACAGAACACACCTGACAGAGTCATGGAATTGAGTTCATTCTTGGAACTAAAAACTGATGATTGCCTCTTCACCCATTGTCTCGGAGGGCTCCACATATTGCCATGTCAGCTTTTGCCCTGAACGCGGCCGCGTTTCTTTGTCGGTTAATCACGTGGAAGCCTACCTCGATAACGTTCTTCGCGAGACCGGCCAGCAAATGGTCAGGCGCGACGACGTTACAGCGATATGCTTCAAAACGTCCTGACACCACACGCTTTCCATCGCTTGTTAACTGTATGTCAACGCGTACGCGCTCAAGTTCCCTTTGCAATGCAAGAAGAGGAGAACTTTCGTCACTAACCTTGTTGCTGTCTTTCATACCAAGCCGGTTTGTGTCTCGACTGTCAATTTCGCTGTTGCGAAGAGCTTCATGGCGTTCCATGCACCTCAAGGACGCCGTGCGGTGTGCATGGACTTTTGTTGTATAGCCGTATCCGCTCTCACCGACGCCGGTGTTCTTCCGAAATGTACAAAGAGTGCAGGGCGTATTTGCTGTATGTCCCATAACATCCAATGTTTCAGCGGCCGCTGGATAGTCAGCCACAAAACCCACCACGTCGACAAAGATTCTTACTCTCTCGCCGGTAGGCGTGTGTGCTTCCACACCTTCTGTTGTACACTTAACCAAGTCTGGAATGATTGAGAGCAGTATATTGTTCGTTGATACACCTGGAGCGGTTAATCCAATTATTCTGACAGACGATCGCGTGTTACGACTTCGCGGTGGTAGTCCAAGCGGGATCATGTAGCATCCACCTGCTGAACCCTGCCAATACAATGAAGAGAATGGGGAAAAGTCATCGAAGTATAGGAGAGCGCGATAGACCACGAACTTTGTTCCATCCATTAAGCGGCAGCTGTTTTGCATTCTTCTGTCAATGTTGCGGGTGCGTCCCGATATTTTGGGCTCTTGGAGGAGGAAAGGCAGCCCTTTCAAATGTTGAGTACCGAGCAGACGAAAGGGTTTGTCTGGAGTTCCATCGCCACCATCATTGAAACGCTGACCGGCCCCGTTTGTACTCATGTTTTGAAACCAAAACAAACTGTCTGAGGTGAGACCTTCCTTGTGTTTCCAAAACCTAGAAACCAACATACACATTCTCGACGTTGCCACTGCTTCACTTTCTGTAGGTCGAAGGAGGGTGCAAATATCCCCAGGCAACACCTTCTTCGAAGAACAAGCCCTTGCTTCAAAATCTATCCTTCCATCTCTACGCCTCACAGATCTATTATACTTTTCCAATGGCGGTGCTGTACAAAACTGCCTGGCCAGGCAATTTTCCACGCCACGGAGAACCTTCATCGCCATTTTGGCGCTTCTTGTAACATTTCCCTCACTTCCCACGCACCACACGGCTGAAATTATACACTTCATTACAAAGTTATTCTCTGCGTTCTCATGAACACGATAGCCCAGATTGCGCACGTCAAGTGACGAACGTGATGGAAGCAGTTTTGACAGTTCCAGTCGAATCACGGCACCCGGGAACGCCTGCACAGTACATGAACCATTGTGGACGTAAAGTGCTCTCGTAGCTTCCGATATTATCTGCCGCTCTGCAACCAGCTTCGAGCTTTCTATGCATTCTGCGTCCGCCACACCACCATGCCATCGACTGGATTTCGGATACATTGAGTTGAAGAACGGAGCCATCATGATGTCAACTTTCGCCCATTCACTTGGTGGAACGATACGAACAGGAGTTTTAGACCCGTTCGAATATTGCGATGCGGTCTCCTCATTACCCCCCAAATTTTCAACCAATGACGTTCGGTTGAATGCCTTCTTCTTTCGTCGGACGACAAAGTACTTGAGGTCACTCTTGGGAAAAAGATACTTCAAAGCATGCGGAAAGAGAGTCCTCTGTACGGTGGAATAAGATGGGAACTTAATAGAAGGAGAAACCCAAGACAGTATATCTCTCAGGAGGTTATACTGTTTGACCGTATAGCGGACGCTACCGCAAACTATTACGAAGCCCAAAATGTTGTACCATGGTTCGAAAAGCTTCCGAGACGATAGAAATATTCGCAAAACTTTCTGGCTGTCCAGCCTGCTTCCCATTTTGGGATCGTCACTTGATAAACTCGGAAGGCACTCCATCCCCTCACAGCTCTCTTGATAAATACTTGGAATAATGATATTGTAATTTCCCACTAAAACACCGTTTAGATCGCTCTCGGGAGCGAATTGTTCCGAGTCGCCAAGTTCTGGGAAGTGGCCTTCATCATAGTCGACAAGATCTATTCCTTCTTCGACGACAACCGTTTCTCGATGTTCCGAGCCCTTTATCTTCGATCTAGTACCTTGATCTCCAGTCTGATTGTTCGACGAAGCGTGCCCATTCAACACTCCCAAAATATCAGCCGCTTCGCCAGTTTCCGGAAGCTCGAGAGCTGGGGTTTCTTCTGCTTCCATAAGTGCGGCCGCATCTGCATCCCCATCGAGATTGCATCCTGGTCGTGTATGCACGTCATGGAACAGGGCTGCCAGGTCTGGCAAGTTAGGGATGTTGTCCATCCAAGTAGTGCCCATCGTACGACGTCTCTTTCTTCGACCTGACATATGAGGAACGGTGGTGCTGTCGTCCGATATTTTCGTGTGGATTATGGTGTTGGGAGAAGTGAGAGTGTAGGATGTTGTTGAAGGAACAGTGCGCAGGGGTCGCCAGGCCTGGCGGTTTAGATTTTGCACACCAAATAATTACATTACAAGTGGCGGTCTGCTAGTGTCTATCCGACCGTGAGGACAAAATTTGAGGACAAAGGGATTTTTCTTCGAACTCCTTGCTTGTTTTTTAGTTCTGATTTGACTACTGGGTACTCCACATAGCCCTTGACATAATCAGCATAAATCGTTTGTTGTGGAGACAAGTTCTACCTCTAAAAGTGAAGCAGAACTTGGAAATCTTCACTGTAAGCAGTTTTCTTTGTTGTACGAAATTGAAAATGGCTTCTTCGTGATTTACAAGGTGTTTCATTGACAACCCCGCCGTTCAAGTGCGATATGGCGGTCTTGAAGTATTCTTTCAGAAGAATTCGTGTCGGCTAAATGATGAAAAATTATTAAATTTGTCGGATCTGTTGAGGTATGATAAGCTTGGTCGGTCGGATACACACTACAGTACAGGGTATTAACTCTGCCTTTTTCTGTCCACCGTTGTTTACTCCGGTATCCCCCAACCTCCTCTTTCTTTCCCCTCACTAATCCACCATGACCACTGCCCTCGCATCTCCTCCCGTCCTTCTCTGCTTCTGTCTTTCTCTGCGCCCTCTCACGCAAGCCACGCCCTCGCTGTTGCACCGGCCCCACCCCTCGCATAAGACAGCAAAATCATTTACACGGTGAGCTCCTTGCCCTCGCAGCGATCTTAAGGGGTATGAGGCAAAGTATGAGCCGTTTCGACAAGTGCAGCACATTGACAGGCAAGACCACGAGATTCAGATGGCAGATGGGGACCGCGTCGGCGAGTTCTACGTCAAGTTTCACGGACCCAAGCAAAGTAGGTTGTCCCTCGCTCCTCTGCTTTTGTAGTACTAGCCGTGCTTTTGTTTGCGTGGGGAACCGTACTAACGCCTGTTTTTCATCTTTGGTAATGACGCACAGCTCCGTACGAGGGCCCGTCCGACGTCGGCAAAGGCACTCTAATCGAGAAGCTGCGTCAAGAATTCCCCACCCTATTCGGCTTCTCCGTCTCGCACACGTCTCGCGCCCCGCGCCCCGGGGAAGAGAACGGCAAGCACTACCACTTCACGACAGCCGAACAGATCGAGTCCGACGTAGCGAAAGGCAAGTTCATCGAGCACGCCGAGGTGCACGGGCGCCACTACGGAACGTCCGTCGCGGCCGTGGAGACCGTGAAAGAGCAAGGCAAGATCTGCATACTCGACATCGACGTGCAAGGGTGCCGCGCAGCGAGAGCGAAGGAGCTTGTGGCAAAGTACGTTTTCATTGCGCCGCCAAGCGTAGAGGAGCTCGAGAAGAGGCTCAGGGGGAGGGGCACAGAGGAGGAGGCGGCCATCGTCACGAGGTTGGGGAATGCGATGAGGGAGATCCAAGCCAGGGACGAGAAGGGATTATTCGATGCTGTTATCGTTAACGATCAGTTTGACAAAGTGTACGCAGAGCTTAAGGAGCTAATCAAAGGTGATGTGGAAGAAGCGATTAAGGCGCAGGCGTGAGAACGGGGCAGACGTAGAATTGGAGTAAGGCGTATCTATAGCTTGGTGGGGTGTCTCTGGAAGGGGGAAGTATAATTTTGACTTTTCGAGGTTTCCGCTTTGTGAGGGAATTCATCTTTGTAAATACCATACTGTAGCAGGCTTGCGTGCGCTCTTCTGGACGAGCAACTCGAAGAAGCGTATCGTCCTTTGAATGAAAACTACGTTGAGGACGGAGATGCTATGTTCCGCTTTGATTATTCCCGGGAGTTTTTGAGGTGGGCTTTGCTTCCACCCGGATGGCATCCAACTTGGCATGTGGGCGTCCGTGTCAAGTCCAATAAGAAACTCGTAGCCTTTATTACGGCTGTCCCAGCGACCTTGCGTGTTCACATGGATTCCACCAGCTAAGGGACTGTAAGCAAGAAGAGGCATGTTTGCGTTCGATGGGGCACATGCTTCAGCCAAATGAGCCTCAAAGTCTCGATATATTAAACTGTAGTTGTTCTGGACAGAGACCGGTGCCGCCGCACCAAGTCTGCGTGCTACGGCATCGAACTGAGCCACTCCCCACGCTGTTTCATTGCTCAGCCCGTAGTTACGTACCTTTCCTTCTCTGATCAACTCATCCATAGCGGACACCTGTACCTCAAACGAGACACTCGAACGCTCCTTCGAAAAGTCATAAGCACCGGCACCGAACATCCGGACATACCGCCTTGTAGCTCGTTTTACCGGGCGTGTAACCGAGTTTCTTCCGCCTCATACAGCCACGCATCTCGCACACATCTGTGACTCTCGAGGTGTACATCGATCTGATCCCGTTGATATGAAAAACGCCACGCTGCTTATCGCGATTCCACTTGCTTCTCGTTCCCACGGGCAGGCCTATGTCCAAAATTCAGGATACACTTACCACGCAAATAAACTCGTTTCCACTCTCTCACCCTCTTCGAGCTAGCATGCGGTGAACTGGCTTTCTCGACGACTGACTGCTTGAGTTGGATTATTCTGTGGGGACACGATAGGCCATACCATTATCAGTTTCCGAAAGACTGATTAGGGTGGAGTAGTGCTTCACAAAATAATACGTGTGCGTCTTGTCGAATCCTGAAAGAATGCAAAGACATGAGAAACTCTGAAACACACTTCAACTGCTGCCAACTTGCATCGCGTAGTGCTGTTGCAATGGCGTTATAGCGGACACTTACCTTCAGTTTGACAAGGCAGTAAACCAAATTGCTCATCTGTTTCGCATAGTTTCGACATCGCCTGCGATTGAATCGATAACGAGTAGCACTCGGTGAATTTAGACCTGTAGAAAAGACCATATATGGTGAGAGATCGTTCGCACAAAGGCTTCAGCCCTTTGCTATTCAAATTACATACTAGTAATTGTCTTGAAGCGCAACAGTTTTTCTTCCGAGAATGATCTCCCGCGACAATATCACAAGTGCAACTTTCAATGCCATGAACCCCAGTTAACTTCACGAGATGGATATCCGATCCTGAAAAGACTTTTCTTTGCAAATTCAGACGCACTTCCTAGATCTCCATACACCGTGACCTTGTAAGCGCTCTGAAGCGAACCCTTGCTGTTTCTTTCCCTTCTCTTTCATGAGAGAAAGCCCTAATTCAGATGATCTGTCATGCTCTCCGACAGAAATCGATAACAACATGAAAATCTTCCATTCTTAGCACGATTGTCGGCCACAAATAGCAGCAGATCTCAAGCTCTGTGATAGGGTTTCTTTTGCATGTCCGCGTGACTCGTCAGGCGGTTGGACCATGATCATACATTCCGTTCCAGTCAGACGTATAATTTCTGATCTTGCTTCTTTTTCGTACCTGCAGGCCAGTGAATCTGCAGCAAATCGATGTAATTTGTTCCTAATCTGGACAGGATGCCATCTACAGCCTCCCTGATGTTGGTTCTATCCACTCTCCGATCCTCACCTCGTATCCAAGAAAACACACGACCGGGTGCCGCGCCTCCTGCAACCTTCGAGCAGAGTACGAGTTTTTCCCGAAATGGCGCACCACCTCGTTCCTTTATCCATGAGTTAATATATTTTTCCGTTCGACCGAAAGAGTCTTTTGTTGGCGGAACCGGGTACATCTCGGCGCAGTCGATTCCAATCACACCTCTCTCGAACGCATGGTCAAGCTGATCGTGAGCGTCGCTTTCTGAATTTTGATGGCCTCAGGTCATCGTACCTAGACATACTTCAGTAAGAATGAGGTCGGAGTTTCCAACGCGGCGTTTTCCAGGTCTACGCTGCCGTCTGATTTTCTGGTGTTTACGCCCTCGACAGCTATCATTCGCGTACTGTTGCAGGAGCGAGGAGAAGCGACATCGGGTCTCTTTCTGAAAATCGGAGACGATGACACATAATTTTGGCGGATGGTCGGAAAAGAATGCGAAGTGACAAATGCCGCGGCCTTTGTCATTTTGTAGAAGGGCTCTGAAACGTTGCTCCAAAGTTCGTCAGTGAAGCTTTTAAGTTCGCAAGAGCTCTGTGTCGCTGAAATTCAAAAGGCTGATAGGTGTCTCTTGTCCTGCTCAAGTAAGACATCGAACAAGAAGGCAACTCTGACACAGTCCCCAGGGTACCGTATATCGGTGGGACGCTTGCGATCGGCCTTGAGTTCTGCGCGTTCGAACTCGAGACGGGCCTTGGCGGCCATTAGCTCGAGGCGCTCGGCCTCTACGCGTGCCTTTCGCGCACGCTCCTTGCGCTGCTCGGGGGATTCAGACGACTCGGAGGATTCGGGGATGTGAGGGAGCTGGGATGGGAGGGGGGTCTGCTCCTCCTTTGCGACGCAGATGGGGGGCGCCGCACGACGGCGCGATGCGGGCGCCGGAGTCATCGTTTTTGATCTGCTCATCGCTTACGTACAGATGTTGGCGGAGAAAAGTTTGCCTGGAGACAAAAGTTGTAGTACAGCTCTGTGCCTTCGCTTTTTGTGTGGACAGAAGTATTGCGTTCACCGTAGATTGCTCCGACGCCGCTATGTGGAAGGCGAGATAGGAAAAAAATCCTAGTCAATCAAGATTGATGGGCTTGCGCATCACGCAAATTTAGTACCGCTGGAGGGTACTTGTAGTTGAGCCCGTGCCGCACACTCCTCCCGGCTCCCCGCCCGTGCCGACCTTCCACCTTCCACCTTCCCAACTCAAACATCACACATTCTCACCCTTCCCTACGACGACTACTCCGGCTCCCCGCCCGTGCCGACCTTCCACCTTCCACCTTCCCAACTCAAACATCACACATTCTCACCATTCCCTACGACGACTACTCCGGCTCCCCGCCCGTGCCGACCTTCCACCTTCCACCTTCCCAACTCAAACATCACACTGTGTGCACACTCCTGCCGGCTCCCCGCCCGTGCCGACCTTCCACCTTCCCAACTCAAACATCACACATTCTCAGCCTTCCCCACGACGACTCCTCCCGGCTCCCCGCCCGTGCCGACCTTCCACCTTCCACCCCCCCGTGCTGACCTTCCACCTTCCACCGCCCTGTGCCGACCTTCAACCTTCCACCTTCCTAACTCAAACATCACACATTCTCAGCCTTCCCTACGACGACTGATCCTGACCCAAACGCATCACTCCCACCCCAGTTGCAACTCCATTTCCGACCCCTCATTCCCCCCCCGTTTATTGGAAACTTGGAAACACCTGCCATGTCTGCGCCTTCTGCAGTACCTTTCGTAGTTGACCTCACAACTGGACAGCCGTCCTCACCAGCACCCCAGTCACCGCAGTCGCCAACGGACCACACACTACCACGCACCCCACTTCCTGACGCCGAACACTCACAACCCACCGGCGGCGTTGTAACACCACGGTGCACAGCACCGCTTGTTGACTTTTGTCTCCATGGGGGCCTCGTTGTGTCCAGAGGTAATACGGTACAGGATAAAAATCCTGTGCTTCCTACATTTGATTCGACATGGGCAGGCCTGCCTTGTGTACAGTCACGGACAGACCGTGCATTGTGCACGAATGTGAGGGATGGCCCCGAGCCCATGAGGTTGGATATTGGAAGGATGAGGGGCCGGCACAACTGGCACTCGGTTCCCGTTCAGGATTTAAGTTTTCGGAAGTATGTGCTGCAGCACACAGTGCACCAGAAAGGAGATGTGAAGCGGTTCCGTCAGCTCGCGATGCAGGATAATGCATCGGCCATGGAAGGGTGGAGTCAGTTTGCTGCCAATAGCAACTATTGGGAGGTGCCCAGTACATTGACGTGCGGCCGCACTTTCGCCAGAGATGTACTCGATTGTTATTATCTTGACGAAATGGACTACGTGTTGCAGTCCCGTCATACCCTACGTCGCCACAAGTTCCCTCTTTTCGCTGATCCATTGATGGGGCGTTGGTGGAATGCTTTCAAGCACAGAGCAAACTTCTCATACGAGCGCTATACGAGGAATCGCTATGGACTGCTTATACCTTTCGACTGTTACGAGACCATGTACTTTGACGATGCTTCGTATAAAGAGGTGTTTCCCCAATGCCCACAGTGGCTGCAAGCTCTGAAGTTCCCTGAGGGAGTTCCGCTACCACTGCCGCCGGTCATCTACTACTACCATGAAGAAATGGTCGTAAGGGAGGGAGGCGTGATGTCAGAAAGATGTCGCAGGCTTTGGCAAATGTTTCGCATGGAGATATGCACCATGTTTTGTGCGTTTTGGTTCAACGAGGCAACAAGGGGCGGCCGCCTATTCTTGGTGGACAAGGGTACCATTACAGTGCTGAAGGACGTATGCAAGGATGTGAAGTGGGTGAATGGGAGCCAGATGCTCTTTCCTCTCATGGAGTTTGTGCATAAGCTGCCACGACATCTGGAATGCTACATGGTGAGCAAAAATCCGCATCTATCTAACTGCGTGTACTTCCACGCTTTGCATGGAACGGGAGAGGCGGATATGAGGAAGGCAGGAGGAGAAGTGCGATACCTTTCTTTCAAATCGAGAAGGATTCGGTTGGCGGCGCGTCAGCAGCGGCGCATGGAGGAGAGGCGGTCCTCGCCTATGACCTTAAGTCTTCATCCACAGGATTTGTCGTTAGTGGAAGGCCTTCCCGCGCTCGTCATTGCCAAGCAGTGGGACCTCCACGGTAGTCTGACTGTTAGAGGGCTGGTATCATTGCTGTATGATACAGCAAGCAAAACGACCAGAACTGTTGATCAGATCTCTCAAGAAGTGGGCAGGCTGCAGCAGGAGAATGAATCGCTGCGCAGCTTCATTAATGGAACGGCAACTGGGCATCCGTCGGCTCTCCGCGCCAAACATTTACACCATAGGCCGAGTATAACCCCGTTCCATGGCCCGTTCAATGTACCTCATGTACACCCACCCCAGAGGACGGACAGCGGATATGATGGATACAATGATGA